AAAAAAGACAACTAAATTCCTCGTCAGTGAGCCTACAGCAGAATTTCTCCCTTTTGTGGAGATCTGCTTGTGCCAAGGCAATCTCAAAAGCCTTTTTATTGTTCCATTTTATTGGTCTGTGTTTGTATTGCTGAAACTTGATTGATCTCACCAGACTGAGATACCGTGCAGTTCAAAGACCACTGATGTCAACGATGGCAATCACTCAGTAGAAGAGAGTTTCCTGCCCAATCAATACATTGGGTACTGTCCACCATGCACCAACAAGCAGGATAAGTGTCAGTTTTTCCCTGTTAAATGTATTTGCAAAATGTCACATACTGCATACTCGGGAGATGGAAATGTTATCACAGCACAGGTCAGCAAACTATTGATGGGACTAAGCTATGTCTACTGATGTTTAGAGTAATATGTGTGGCAGTTTGATCTAGCAGGGAGCTGTTAGGAATGCCAAGCACAGTTTTATTCCCTGTGTTGTCTTTAAGATTATCTTTAGAATTCTTCAATGTCAAAGATTCAGAAAACCTGGTATCATAACATAGTAGCAACTTTAAAAAAAACAAAAAAGCATTTTCCATGTGCTTGTAATGCACCCCAAAATTAACCTGCAATTTATTGCTTCTTAAAGTTTCAGAGCTTTAATACTCCTCTTACTTTACTGAATGTAAATACAATGACTTGCAGTGCCCAGCTAGCCAAGTTTACTAATGTTCTAATTATGTCACTATGAATTAGCACTTTAAATTTATTTGATAATGCCTGTAGGGTGACTACTAGCAATGAGAGCAATATCAGGTCAGACATTTGGGTCACTGTGAGCCAACCTTTCCTAACAAGGTTGGACTTTCTTCGTCCCATTTTAGCTATGTTATAATTTAGGTTTTAGGTCATAACTAATTTATATAGAAAAAGGACCATTGTGTGTGTATGCAGCATCATAGTATACTATACTGCATTATTTAGGAAGAGATCGTACTTTAACATTTCTATGTATGTAGCTCTGATTCTATTTGCAGGCAGGCTGCACATATGCAAAAATTCTTCTAAAAACCACTGTAAATTACAGAATATGTAAGGGCTAGACTGTGATCTACCCTTGTGTGGTTATACAAGAGGGGAGGCCATGCAAGGAGATCCCCATATCCTCTCTTGCAGTGCCCACATAAGGGCCAATCACAATATGGGACAAGAAACTGCTTACTTCTTGCTCCCTCTAGGATGTGAATCATTGAGAAAGGATAACATAAGATCATGGATATGCCTTCCCATACCCTCTGCAGCAGCTAACAGAGAGCAGCCTGTGCACCATGAGGAGAGATCTACACTATCTTTACAGCCAGTGTAGAGTGTCCATCCACTATGGCAGTGTTTCCCAAACTTGGGACGCCGCTTGTGTAGGGAAAGCCCCTGGTGGGCTGGGCCAGTTTGTTTACCTGCCCCTTCCACAGGTCCGGCCGATCGCAGCTGCCGCTCGCTCTTCAGGCCAATGGGAGCTGCAGGAAGCGGTGCGGGCCGAGGGCCATACTGGCCGCCGCTTCCCGCAGCTCCCATTGGCCTGGAGCAGCGAACCGTGGCAAGTGGGAGCCGCAATCGGCCGGACCTGCAGACGGGGCAGGTAAACAAACTGACCCGGCCCGCCAGGGATTTTCCCTACACAAGCGGTGTCCCAAGTTTGGGAAACACTGCGCTATGGATATGTCTACATTTCAAAAAGGTGTGTTCTTAACTGGGGTTAGCTATAACTTACTTGGTTTTTAACTCGGTTTTAGCAACTCAAATTAAAGCATATAGTGCAGTATGGAGTTGAACTCAAGCTGCTAACTCAGTTAAAAGATGAGTTGGCATGTCTTCACTGCTGTTTTAACCCAAGTTAAGAACAAACTTTTTTATTTTCTAGTGTAAACATACCAAATGTGTAATAGGAAATATTGTACCTCCTGAAGCACACTCTCTTAGTGCTCCCCATGGGGGGAGTGGCTGTGCCCTGCTCCCTACCTAGTGTTTTGTGCAAATGGTACAATCTAGCCCTCATCATACCCTTGACAAACATATTTGGTTGTAAAAGCCAAGGGGGAAAATGCTTGTATGCTGTTTGTGTAAGTGTGGGTTACATAATTCCTTTGATTAAGGAAACTCATCCCAAGACTCAGAGTTCCACTGCAGCTCAAATCCTCACCTGGGCATCCAATTGTAATATGACACCTGTTGTCAGAAGTGGGGATTTGAAACCAGAAATTCACTTATAAAACTGTATGTTGTCCAGGCACTAGGAAGGGACAAAGAGCCACACTATGGAAGTGTTGGATATACAAGATGTGATGGAGGCTAAGCTTATTGGTGGTACCACCTAGTGGTTAGGTCACTGAGTCCCAGCTCTACTTCATCACCAGTGTTCCTCATATATCCAGCAATCACTCCAGCACTGTGGCAATCCACCTTTCAGTAGGGAGTGACTTGGCCCTTCACCCAGGTCACTAATTGAGTTCTCACCCTTCCATGATAATAAGTCCAACAAAATGTATATGATCCAATGTGCCCACATAAGAAAATGTCTTCAGCACAGCTGGGGGCCCCTATGGGTGGCATACCTTTGACCCAGGCCTTACAATGTCTCTATCTTCTCCTTCTCTCCCAGGGCAGGGGGAACTGTGGTTGGTACTGAAGCCCAGGCCCATCCTCTCCCGAGGATCTGACCCAGGGCCCTTACAAGAGGCAGCAGTAGCAAACATGCCAGACTGCTTGGGGGCTGCCTTCCTGGACTACTTCCTATTGCTTACCTCAAGGCCTCAAAGTCCCCCACTTAAAGTCCATCAGAAAATAGCAAAAACACCAACAAATCTTCAGCTCAGCTAGTAGCAGTCTTCTTTGCAGCCTAGCCCCAGATTCAAACTGTTCCAAGGTTTCACTCCCATGGCCCATGTCACACTCTCCCCTCTACCTAGAGTTTCAGGGAGCCTACAGTCCTCAATTGGCCCGTCTCCAGTCAGGTTTCTTCTCACTGGGGTCTCCTCCCTGTCTCTTCTTCTAGGGCTTGGGGTAACTGCCGCTTGCAGCCTCCTCCCTTGCTCTAAGAAGTTCTGCTATACCCATATTCAGGAGCTCCCAACATAGGTCTCCTCCTAGAATCATAGAATATTAGGGTTGGAAGAGACCTCAGGAGGTCATCTAGTCCAATTTCCTGCTCAAACCAGGACCAACACCAACTAAATAATCCCAGCCAGGGCTTTTTCAAGCCAGGCCTTAAAAACCTGTAAGGATGGAGATTCCACCACCTCCATAGGTAACCCATTCTAGTGCTTTACCACCTTCCTAGTGAAATAGTGTTTCCTAATAATTCAACCTAGACCTCCTCAACTGCAGCTTGAGACCATTGCTTCTTGTTCTGTCATTTGTCACCACTGAAAAAAGACTAGCTCCATCCTCTTTGGAGCCCCCCTTCAGGTAGTTGAAGGCTGCTATCAAATCCCCCTCACTTTTTTCTTCTGCAGACTAAATAACCCTAGTTCCCTCAGCCTCTCCTTGTAAGAATGTATCCCAGCCCCCTAATAATTTTTGTTGCCCTCCGCTGGACTCGCTCCAATTTGTCCACACCAAGGGACATACTGGCTGCTGCTTCCATTGGCTTGGAGCAGCGAACCGCAGCCACTGGGAGCCGCGATTGGCTGAACCTGCAGACGTGGCAAGTAAACAAACCGGCCCGGCCCGCCAGGGGCTTTCCCTGCACAAGCGGCGGAACAAGTTTGGTTCCACTGCTCTAAAGGTTATTATACAGTTTAACTTGATATGAAAGCATGGTTTAGAGGGGAAAGTATATTAAAATATGTTGCATAAATTAAATACATGATGGTGATTGGATGTTTAAAAGTTTCATTGGCTCAACTGACTTGTAATTTTGCCACTTGAAATGGACTCATGTAAATGAAGATTTTATACGACACTGATCTGTGCACTAAATTGTTGCATTAAACCAGCTCTAGATACAAATTTGTACTTTCTCCACCTTGATACACCTGTGCGGGTACTGGCCACCATAACATCTGTATTATATAGCCACACATACACCTTCCACAGGTGAGATTTTGGCTGACACCAAAGCCCATTGAAGTCAGTTGCAATACTCTCATTTGTTTCAATGGGCTTTAAAGCTGGCTAACACTCAATATTGAGTCCTGTCAGAAAACTTCCAAACTCCCTTCTCTCCACCAGGCAGTCCTGTTCACTCTCCCTCTTCAGTCATGAATTAATTATTGTGCTAGTTAAAAACAGGAAATATCAAGAAAATAAATTCCAAGGTATAAAGAGATATCTCTGAAATGTCAATCAACATAGATTAGACAAATACTGAATATGGTTTTTCAACCTGTTTTGCCTGAATAAAAAAAAAGTGCTGAATGAAATTCCTTCCTCTTTTCTAATCACTAATTAGCTAAAATGCTAAGTTAGGAAATTTCAAATAATCAACAGAATTTTAATATGTCACAGTGTCAAACATTACATTCATTAGTGTAATCAAAATAAATTCTGGTGAGACAGTTGACCTTTAACCTAATTTAATAAAATCTTGATACGCCTCTATTTACTATACTTCTGGAGTTTATTGTACTAGGACTGTTCTTGTGTCAATATGTAAGTGTCTTCTGTAATTAACAGACAACTTTTCTTTGATACCCTGCCAAGAAAATGATAACTTTGTTGCTGCAAAATGTAGAACTCTGGCAAAGGGAGCCATCTATGTGTTTCAAGGGTCCCATGGAGATTAGCTTGGCCCTAATTAACGGTGGCTTTCTAAAGTGAGAGATAATTGCTGACACACATAATCTAGAGAGTTCAATAGCTAAAATGAGCAATAATGAATATTCACTTTGAAGCTTGCCTGACAGAGTGCTTTAGCCTATAAGTTAAAAAGTATCTTGAATACAGCTGATAAATGAGATTACTTCACTATCTCCACTCCCCCACCCTCCATCACTGTTTAAGCACTATCACTTTCAATGTTTCAGGTTTGGATCCTTGCCTCTTGCAGTCAAAGACTTACGATGAGTGAGAAATGTCCATATTAAGAAGGTAAAGGGAGATTCAGATTACATCCATTTTTGACCATTATAATTAATAGCTGGATCTTCAGTTGTAACTAATTGAATGAAGGTCAGTGTGTTGCCATGGTAATGTAGCCAAGTGATTTTACCCATTTTACAGTCTGCTGCCCCTTTGCATAACTGCAAGATTTTAATTGCAAGATTTGCAAATGATGCAACATCTGGGCTGAGGATTTACATATATAGAGAGACGATTAATGGCATTATTAGCATATCTATGTGAACCCTAGAAATACTGAATTTAATTACTGAAAACCATCATTTCCATAGATCAGCTCTATATGTGGTAGGCTGGAAATCCATACAATTCTTAAGGAAAATTGTGTGTGTGTTTTCCTTCTACATCACTCTTAATTTAAAAATGGTTATTCCACAGCTGAGTTAGAAGACCCCCCCCCAAAAAAGTTAGTGGGTGTTGGACAGGGGACATGCAAAAATAGGGAATGTGTTTGTTTGCACTAGCTTCACTGTATTGCACTGTTCATGTTATGCACTCTTATTTTATTACTGCTTTTGGTGTTGATTTATCACTGCTGTTTTAGTGTTGTAATGGCAGCTGACCTGCCTGACAATGCTTAAATAAGTTTTTTTGCAATGCAGCCATGGTCACAAACAAATGCTTTTATTTTTATTTTAAAAAGTTTATTACCACCAGTGCATCACAACATAAAATGTGCCCTTTGAAGAATAAAGAAAAAGACATGATAAAGCACAACTGGGAAGTTGTACCTAACACAGGCTCTGAATACATCTATTCGGATCAATCCATAATGAAAATCCACAGTTAATGTCACACAAACTGTGACAAATGTTCCCTACTTTGTGGGAGAACAACCCCTTTCGAATATGGGGCTCAGACAAAGAAATTCAAGAGCATGATAGATTACAAAAATTCAAAATCTGTAAATTTCCTGGGCCCCAGAGAGACATATTTGGGACCAGCTGAGCCCCACAAATGATGGAATCTTGTAGAAACTTTGTGCAAAATCCGAGAAAAGGATATTGCTCATAAAACCTGATCTAAAACCCAGTGAAGTCAATGGGAGTTGTTTCACTGACTTCAGTGGGCATTGGATTGGTTCCATAATCTCTGAAGTATTTTGGGAACTTTCAGGAGGAAAGATGCTATATCAGTTTAAGACTTTTTTTGTATTTAATGAGAACAATTTAAAAGTTAGTTGGAAAATAAATGTATTACACATTCCTTGGTAACATAGCACAATTATAATCTTCAAACTGACTTGATAATGGTTTTGTGCAGATACACAGATTTCAAGAAATCCCACTCAATTATATACACTGATTAACTGAACTGGAAATAATAAATCATATACCCAAATATGTACTTTTTATATACAAATATTTTTTTAAAAAATTGCTAAAAAACCTCAGAATTGACTTAGGTGCTTTACCAACCATGGAGATTATTATTCTGTTTATTTCCTTCTGCTTCCCTTGCCTTATCCCATTGCCTCCAGCATTTTGTTTTGTCAGTCAATTTAACTTATTAGCTTTTGGGGGCAGGTACCATGTCTTTATTAGGTCTCTGTGTGGCTGCATAGTCCAGGATATACTGTAGCCCTATATGAGGACATGTATAATTTGTTTAATTATTATTTACCATACGTACAGAACACCATAAGTGTGCATGATTCTTCACATAGTAAGTAAAGACATGGTCCCTGGTCACAAGGCTACAGCTAAATTGAGTATGACAAGACAAAATGCCATATACTCTACATATCCTCCTCCATGCCTGAAGCATCCACCAGCAGAGCTGAGCTGGTGAGGAATGGGAACATTCCAGCAACAAATTACTACCTCTCTGGAGCTAGCGCATCCAAGTGAAAGCACGAGGAGAGAATCATGCGTCTTGGAGGCACACTTCCTTCCCTGCGCTGCTCTGGGCTTGGTCTCCTACACTGGACTAAAAGCAAAATCTAGCCCATAGTTATATCTTGACAATGTATTATTTTGGTAGACTTTTAAATCAGAAACTTAATCTGAAGCCAAGACTCTAAATCCCATGCTGATACATCTGAAGTAAAAATAGAATCCTTGTCAGTAAGACATGATGGGCTGGAAATAACTGCTACCGTTTCTACCTGAATGAACAAGATTTTGTCAGGCACTCTTGTCCTATTAATCACCAGCCAAAGATTCATTACAGTGCCTAATAGAGTCCGTTTACATCAAGATTACTAAAAAGGAAACCAGGGAAAAGGTTGAAAACCTGGAAACACAAATTGCGGTGCAAACTCTATAGTTATATATTCTGCTATTCTAGGGCACATTGATATCACAAGATGGGACAGAAAAAAAAGTCAGAGAGAAGACAAGAGATCATCAAGAAAACCAAAACAGTTTTTGTTCATATTTAGATTGTTGACTTATATGCAAACATGCATGGGGCCCAATTCTTTTTCCTATCCATAATCTGATCCTTTCACCCCCATGTATCCACTTCCCTCCCTCCTGCCTCAACCACCTACCTGCTGTCTCCCTCACTAAATTATGGTTGGCTGTTCTCCTTTGAAAATTAGACTTCACTGCATCTGGTGATGCTTTCCTCCAATGGGCTGTGATGCCAGGTGGTGGGACCAAAGCAGGATATTCCAGATGAAAGATCAGGGGATGGCAGCTAGGGAATAGCTGTCTCAAACTCAAGTCAGATGTCATACTGGGCAAGGAATCTTGGATCGCATTATGTGTAGTGGGGTAGGTATTTGTGCTGCAAACACACAGGATTCACAGATTTAAGGCCACCACTGTAACTCTTGATGGTAGCGACAAAAGGTTAGTTATCTTAAGTCACCAAACAGCCAGAATGTCTTCATGGGCTTCATTGTTTCAATTAACTTCATAATGGACTGATTTCTACATCACAAAAATCATCACCCAAATTGGCAAAGAGTCCAAAGGCATGGAAACTAAACTACCTTTCATTCCCAGAAGTTGTTTCCTTGACACAGAAGGAAGCACATTGATACCAGCACATGGGGAAGCTTTCATGCAACTGCCCCTACTGTACTGATGAATCAAAGATATCAATCTCTGTAGCCAATCTTATTAAACGTGCTCACTAATTTTAGATACCTTGATTTTCGGCTCCCTACTACACAATTAGGCCTGTGTTTTAGAGGTCCTGTAGCCCAATGTGCAACAAAGCACGCGATGGACCAAGGTCTAAGGTAAGGTTTAGAGGTCCTGAGTAGAGCTGGCTGGAAAACAATTCCCTTTAGCAAAAAAAATTGAGGTTTTGAAATTTATTGTCATTCTGCATTGGAACAAAACTAAGAACTTTTGATTTTTGGGGGTGGGGTGGGGTGACGGGGGCGTTAGGGTGAGAAGAGGAGAGAAAAGACAGAGAGGGACATTACCCACCCCAGAATAGCCAATAGTTCAGTGGTTAGGGCACTCACATGGGATTTGGGAGGCCCCTGATCTACCTGATTCAGAGAAGGGACTTGAAACTGGGACTCCTCCATCCCATGTGACCACTGTAAACAATCACCAGGTTACTAGCTTTTCTCATCTCTCTCTCACTGACCAGAAATTCCACCCTAGACCTGAGAAACCTTCCTGATAGAAGTTTCATTGAAACCAATACTTTTCTTCAAAAAGTTTTGGTTTCAGTGAATTTCATTGACATTTTCAAACCAAACAAAAAGTTTCATCACAAAGATTCTTGACCAGGTCTAGCGCTGAGTATCTTGTAGCTACCATTGACTTCAGTTGCAGTTGTAGGATTCAGCAACTATTAAAATCAGGCCCTTGAGTGTCTCAAGTTTGACAACCAAAAACCGAGGCCTCCAAAATGAGTGGACACTTTTGAAAATGTTAGCCTAAGGCTGTTTAACACATTTCACAAGCATCCTAGTGAAGATAAAATAAAAAATTCCCAAATGATAAAAAATGTGCATTGTGCTTGTGATTTTTATTTATAATTAGTTATAGGCTCCTTTACCAGTTCTTCGTTCAGCAAAATAACTAACGCATAGTATATATTATACTGCTGTTTAAACTGTATTTCTGCAGGCAGATTTTTGGACTTGCAACATGAATTTACTTTGGAAACTGCTTTAAAAATAAAATAGCACAAACTAATCAGGATGTCCTGTTATGCACCTGAGACTCATCTGCACAAGTGTTATTTCACACCCAATGTTTTTTGCAAATTTTCTTGTAGCATTTTATAATAAGAAAAATTTGAAAACATGATGATTAATAAAATATCACTAGTTTCACATTGGCATCTCTGGGCTAATCAAAAGTGTCAGATTTTACATAACAGGTTGATTCACACTTAGGAAGTGTGAGGCAACACTCTAAATTATCTATATTCATATGCTATTCCATCATTCTTCAAATGATAAGACAAGGGGAAAATTTATAGTCAGGGAAATTTCCTAGATTGAATTGGGGAAAAAATGTGCTAAGAATTTTTCTATTGCACACATTACTTGTCATTCTAGTTACATTCTCACCTATAGAATAAAAGTTATGCCAGAATGTACACATTAGATATGCTCATCTCAATAAAGGGCACATTGTTCACAAGGCTGTTAGGCTAGCACACACTGCAATATATCCTGGCATTTTTCACTTCCAGTCAAGGGACTAATATTCCTTTTGCTTCTGTGCAGTTGACAGTCTGACTGTGCAAGGGAGGCTACGTCTACACTATGAGCTGGGGTGTAATTCACCACTTATGTATATGTCTACATCTCATCGAGCTAGTGTGCTAAAAACAGTAGTGTAGCCACAGCAGTGCAGGCAGCAGTGACATGGGCTAGCTACCCACACCACATATCCATGGAGTTCAGGAGGGTTTGTATTCAGCATTGCTAGCCTGTGTCACTGCTCACCGCTGCCTGTGCTCCCGCACATATACTATTATTTTTAGCACACTAGCTCGATGAGATCTAGCGTGAATACGTCTAGCAAACTGGGAATCAATCAACCCCAGCTCATAATGAAGACAGAGCTGTGGAGGTGATAAGAGGTATGCATCCCCTGTATGGCACAGAGCTCCACTCCAGGAAAGTTTATCGGGAGCAAAAGGCAAGTGTGGGGACAGAATGGGAGCTGCCCACAAATGGGGAGGGTCCAGAATCAGAGGCTCCTTCCCCTATCTCCCCCCCACCCCACAACCTCAGCTAGGGCTTCGAGGTCTAATTCTGTCAAGCAGCCTCCACAGAATGGCTTTAGACCCTGTGAGGGAAGGAAAATGCCCCCCTCCCTTCACATCCGCTCAAGCTTAGATACTTGGGCTGGATGCTGCATGTGAGGATTTGGCCATAAATGCACAATAAACTCAACTCTAGCAGCAAAGTAACTGATGGGACAGGATCATTAAGAAAAAATGGTTACCTACTTTTTGTAACTGTTGTTCTTTGAGATGTGTTGCTCATGTCCATTCCATTCTAGGTGCGTGCGCACCCACGTGCACAGTCGTCAGAAAATTTTGCCTTAGCGGTTTCCGTAAGATTGGTAGTGGCGCCCTCTGCAGTGCCACAACTCATGTGTCAGTATATTAGGTGCCACTGGCCCTACAACCTCTCAGTTCCTTCTTGCCAGCAATTCCAACAGAAGAGAGGAGGGCAGGTAATGGAAATGACATGAGCAACACATCTCGAAGAACAGTTACAAAAGGTAGGTAACCATTTTTCTTCTTCAAGTGCTAGTTCATGTCGATTCTATTCTACATGACTAACAAGCAGTATCTATGGAGGTGGGCTTAGAGTTCACGGATGTGCAGCTTGCAACACTGTTCTTCGGAAGCCAGCATAATCTCAGGCCTGCTGGGTAAGTGCGTAATGAGACGTAAACGTGTGGATAGATGACCAGCTAGTGCCCTACTCAACTATCAGTACTTAACACCTACTTACTAACTAACTAGTGTAAACAACTATATACAAAAGAACAATGGTGACAAGTAGAGAGAAAACCTATATCCACTTGGGAGAAAAGAGGAAAGGCGCTTGGACGAACCATCCTGGGAGTAAGAAGGAACTGAGAGGTCATAGTGCTGGCAGTGCCTAATATACCGACACATGAATGCAGCATTCCAGAGGGTGCCACTGCCAACCCTACGAATAACACTAAAGCAAAAATCTCTGACTGTGCATGTGACCGCGTACACACCTAGAATGGAATCGTCATGAGCAAGCACTCAAAGAACAATAACTAATTCAGTACTGTAGCCTGAGAATTGCTTCCATTTTTACACAGGACATTTTATAAATAAAACAACCTAAAGCTGAAACAGTAAATTACAAGTAGAGGATGTGAGCTATATATCAGTTAAATAATTAGGGAAACATATTTGTTCTTAAGAGCCCCTGCAACAGATTACAGTGCTCTTTTATCTCATTACTCACCTTGTATAAGCAGCCACTAGTGCCATGCATTTTGTGAACACCCATGAGGCCAATGAGAGTGCTGTGAATTGGAAATGATGCCAACCCACCATAAAAACAGAGGAACCATCTGTGCCCTTGGATGAGGTAGATATGAAAATAAGCATCCTTCAAGTTGAGGGCGGTGTATCAGTCTCCAGGGAGGGAATGACGGAGGCCAGGGAGACCTCGCAGGCCAGTTCACCGATGACTTTAAGGAGCCTCAAGCAACACTTGTTCATTGCAGGTCACGATGCAATAGTTTGGTTGATTTCCATGAGGCCACAAGAAATGGTTTTCATAGGCTTGTGCACAAAGTCATGAGGAAATGTGTTAGGATGATATTGCCATCACTGCAGTACCTAACCACTCTAAACAAATTACACAGAGAGTATTAAGATCATTAAACTGGAAGAATTTAGGACCAAATCCTGAGAGTCACTAAACATCTGGCCACTCCCACTGAATTGAATAGCAATTGCAGGTTAGCACTACTCACAATTCGTGTTCCAAGGCAACTATTGGAAGTAAAACCAGCTGCAGAACATTCAGAGAGTCACATCATTCATTTAATCTTCCAGTCTTTAACACAAAAGAACTTTAATTTTGTTCTACAGCAGAGTAAGTACAAATGTTAGTAAAGGGCAAATCTCAAAAAGTTAAGTGATTCAGGTTGATTAAACATCAAGAGTTCAGTTTCTTTCTGCAAATTTCCAGTAAATTCCTGAGCTGCTCCCCAGTCCTTTCCTTTTGCCTCTCCAAAATAGGTTTCTGGTCCTGCCTAATTTCCAATGATCAGGCTCCTTGTTGGGTCACTGTCACCAATAAATTCAACTCCCCCACCCCTCATTAGGGATATGCTTCCCAGAGTACACTATGTGCTCCAAATCCTGTAAGATTTTATATTAGCAGAAGCTAGGGCCAGGTGAGAGGCAGCAGGAACTAATGTGTCCTTTCATAGGAAGGTTGCATGGAAAATGTATTGAACAGCTTCCATATGAAGAGAAATTAATAAGATTGTGACTTTTCAGCTTGGCAAAGAGATGACTAAATGGGAATATGATAGAGGTCTATAAAATCCTGACTGGGGTGGAGAAAGTAAATAAAGAAGGGTTATTTACTCATTCTCATAACACAAGAACTAGGGATCACCAAATGAAATTAATACACAGCAAGTTTAAAACAAACAAAAGGAAGTATTTCTTCACATAACACACAGTAAACCTGTGGAACTTTTTTGTCAGAGGATGTTGTGAAGGGCAAGACTATAACAGGATTAAAAAAAAGAACTAGGTAAGTTAATGGAGGATATGTCCATCAATGGCTATTAGCCAGGATGGGCAGGGATGCAAAACCATGCTCTGAAGTGTCCCAAGGATATCGAATGTGCTGGGGATCTTTTCCGGCTGGTTCAGGGCTTGCTCTGAGTACTCACAGCTCTCTTTTTTGAAGCCTTATGTGAGTGTCTCATGGCTTTAGGTTCATCACCTTTGGATATGGAGACAGGGCCAGCTCCAGGCACCAGCCGACCAAGCACGTGCTTGGGGCGGCACCTGGTAAGGGGCGGCCAATCTTGGAGTGGCAGGGGGGCGCTCAGGGTTTTTTTTGGGGGGGGGTTTCGGTGGGGGGGGGGGGGGGGGGGGG